CTGTTATTGCTGAAGTCGTATTTCCTGCCATCAACCTCTGAGTGAATCTGTGATTCTGTGAGCAACTCCACCTGCCTGCCTGCTTTGCCTCATTTTGGGTAAAAGTTGCTCTTTTTTTAAATTTAAAAAAAAAAAAATTCCATATTGACATACAGGGTGTGTTGTGAGTTAATTTTGTGAGTTTGCTTGCAAGCAAATATGATGAGTTTGCTTGCCAGCAAATTTGATGTGATAGACTCAGGTAGCTGATGGCAGATGGATAGATCAGTGAATGAATCTGTGAGCAACTCCATCTGCCTGCCTGCTTGCCCTGATTTTGGGGTAAAAGTTGCTCTTTTTTAATTTTTTTTTTAAAGAAAATCAATATTGATATCAATATTTATAATATTTCCACACAAGCCATGCCCAGCCAGTCGCATGACCACCAAGCCACACCCACACATTAGGCCACACCCACAGAACCGGTGAGTGGTCCCTGGGATTTCAAATGATGAGTTGGGTGTGGTCTACGAGGCCCCAAAGGTTGGTGACCCCCTGGACTAGTCGAACCCCTGCTGGATAGATCAATCAATCAATCAATCAATCAATCAGAATAGCACAGAAAAGGAACCTTGGAGGTCTTCTAGTCTAACCCAGGGATGGGCTTCCACTGGTTCTCGGCCCGGTTGCTGGCTGGGCGTAGCCATGCCAGCTTCTTGAACCATGGCTTGTTTTTGTCCTCCCTGGGCTCCGGAGGCCCCCTGGGCCCGTTTCCGGTCGGGACGAACCCGTCGTAGCCCACCCGCTGGTGCCACTTCCTGTTTAGGCCGAAAACTTTACGCCGCTTTCCGCAAATGGTAGTCCAATCTCTTGTGACTTCAACTCCCAGGAAAGTCAGTGGGAGAACCCCTGGGAGGGGGATTCTGGGAGTTGAAGTCCGCCTCTCTTAAAGGGGCCACGGGTGGAATAAACCCCGAAGCCAAATACTTCACCGGCCTTGGGAATGTGTCTCCTGACAGAGCCAGCCCCCTCTCTGGTTCCTAGGCACCGGTTGTGGTGCGCCGGCATCGGGTGGGGAGGGCTGAGGTCTCGGAGAGACGAGGGCCCCGCGTGTGATGGAGGGACGGGGCCAGAACTATTGGACAGCGGGGGTGCTGCCGTCGGAGCTTGGGGAGGCTGGCAGCAATGAGGAGGACGCTCCCGGGGAGCCTGTGCTCAGCAGGGCTTGCTTGAAGGGAAGAGCAGCTGCAGCAGCCACAGGCGAACTCGGGAGTTTTATTCCGGTAAGGGATAAAAGTCAGCCTGAGAGACCGGAGTTCTTTGCAGGAAGCAAGGAAATTCTATGCCCTTCAAGCCTTGTGGAAGACTCGGGAGTTTTATCCCATAAGGGATAAAAGTCAGCCTGGGAGACCGGAGTTCTTTGCAGGAAGCAAGGAAGTTCTATGCCCTTCGA